GGTTTTAAGTCAAAATAAGCGCTTACTGATGCAAGGTTCTGCTCACTTCATAACATGGAATCAATGCAGCAGGGAACTGATATTGTTATTATTTCTGTAGCTGAAGTCACGAGCAGTGAAAAGTTTGAAAGTGGAAAGGCTGCCAGAAGTTAACGAAATCCTCCCCCCCCTAAAATACTCAAAGCAACAGCCGAATAAAGCATGTGCTGGCTTACACGTATCAGTCAAGCAGCAATCACTACGGGAAGAAAAACGTTGTCTGCGGTAACGATATCCCTGCTGAAAAAGGTGGACCATAGCGACTCCTTCCATTTACCAGGGCATTATCTTATTGAGTTTCCCACGATAGTCCCTGCAAAGGTGTTGGGAAGAAACTTTAACCGGAGAACGGCTAACTCTAAGGTCCAAGAAGAGCAGTATGGCTTCAGGTCAGGCTGATGCACCTTTGACTAGATCTTCGCCTTACGCCAGATTGTTGAGAGATTGTGGGTGTTCGTTCATGCGGTTTACATGTGATTTGTTGACTGAAGGAATATGACCAGAACCCTGCAAGAAGCTGAGGGTACGTTTTCAGAGAGATGGAATCGATAGCTAGTTGCTACGAGCCATCCAGTCACTGCTGCTCGTAGCAGATGCTGCGTCAGAGTAAAGGGCGTTAAGTCGAGTGCTTCCAGCGTTGGCACTAGACCCCGCCAATGTCGCGTCTGCTCTCCTGTTTGTGTTGTACATGGATAGGATAGTCAGACGCAGTTAGGGCGACGAGCCGCTGTGTCTCCAAACTTGGATGTCACAGTTGCAATTGTTTGGGCATGCATTGCAAATGGTTCCAGATGGGAAGTGAAACAGTTAGTAGTTGTTCAACCGACCGATCGAACACCTCAGGAGACTCTGCTACGGACTGGGGCTCTCGTCCGTCAAAACAGGAATGCTGGAACAGAATCGGGTACGTTGAGAACACTGTCTGACGCGGCTGCCTCCGCGACACTAAAGGCTCAGCGGGCACGAAAGCAACTTGCGGAAATAACTGTGGGTTCATTTCAATACTCAACTTTTCTAACGAGTTCATAGTAACAAATAAAAATTTACTCGAAGAATGATTCTTTTTCCAGGCTTAAGTTGAAAGCGTCGTTGGCATTTTCCAAAATGCGTTGCTGCTGCAGCTTTTGAATCTTCTGCATGGTCTCTCTCAGCCGCGGATCAGTCGTTAAGATACCTTTAGATCGCATAACCTGATATGCGAATCATGATTGTAAATTATTGAAAAGTTCCATTAATGAATATTTACCGAGAAAAACTTAGCCACAAGTACTCGTTCGTCCTCATTCTTGAGCAGATTGAAGAGAGCATCTTCAACTGTTCGACTTGTACTCGCAACCAGATTCCACGATGTGATATCAGCGACGCTGAAAAGCCACTATTAATGCATCATTCGTAAAGGTATTGCTTTTCATGAATCATGTTAAATCGTCGGCCTTAGGCAATCAAAGTCACAGATACTAGATAAAGGGATTTGATTTTGTGATCAATTAAATGGCAGCACTAGATTAATAATTTCTGAAAATTAAAAGAAAATTGGCTCAATTTAAATGCATATCATTTCAATCTCACGTTGGAGTCAAACTTGCAATTGGTGCAGGAGTCCGACCCGGTAGTTTGAGACGGCGGTGATGCACACCACTCGTCAATTACATCTGTTCGTGACCGAAACCGAAAGTGTTCCACTTCTCCAAGTCCGCTTGGCTGATGGGGTTTGGGTTAACTGCGATAATAGTTCACGAGTGTTGGCACCGCGAACAGACTGCCAGACAGTCACTCATCAAAAACGTTCAAGAAGGGAGTGGATTAGAGGAGCGTCGACTTGCGATCGCGATGTAATCTCAGCGAAGACAAGATGACGGATGATAGTTAACTTCAATAACTGAACCGACGTCACAAAGCACAAGGAAGAATTAAGGTAAAAGATCTCCTGCTAGGACGAAGTGTGATAACGTGTACATGGTCGACTAGTGATATGGCAGTAACCTCGGCCTGCCAAAACGCTGTATGCTCTTAAAGCATTGTTCTGGCTAAATTTCTAAACGTAGGAACAGTGCGTCACTGTTCCCACTTACCAATGAATAAAATCTAACAGATACAGAAATCCGTGCAATTAAAAAACTTTTCGCTTTGCTATTAACCCTCGAGCGGAGCGTAACGCCACTATCTGTAATTTTTGTGCTATTTGAACAGAACAGTTGTCTGGTTAAAACAATATCAATGCAATATCTACAAGCACACCTCTCAGAGCGAAAAGTTTTACAACGGAGAAGAGTGAGCCATAATGATAGTTTCATGATACCATTATTCAGTTCCTCACTGACTGCTAGATTGAGATTTGTAGGTTTATCTTCACAACCAATACTTGGTCATTCGTGACGTTGGAATGATACTTGCTGACGGCGGCAGTCAATAATTCCATTGCCCAGTTACCCAGCTGTCAATCTCTTTCACTATTCTCAGTTATACCGGTATAAGACTTTTCTCTTTGAGAGGCATATTTGTATAAAATTTAACCATATAATCGTCTGATATCTCTTATTCGTGCAACCGTTCCTTGATGAACATAATAGACAGATATTAGCAATGCTGAAACGCAGAGTATTGGAAATAGATTGACGAGCAAAACGTTGTCCGGTGGTTTGGATGCAAATATGAACAACTGGGCCAGTCATATGACAATACTTTTGAATGGCATGTTGCTGATATGAAACATCAATCTTAAGATACAATAGAGCGTGTTTAACTTTCTCTTAAGTCACTGTTATAAGACTGCAATTACAGACTTCTGCAAATACGGCAGAATGCTAGGCTAATAAACTGAATGAGCAAAAGGTTGCTACTTCAGGATTGTAGACACAAAGAAATAGGCAGATACAGGCATTTTTTAGAACTGCCTACACCGCGTCACCAGAACTGCAGTGGTTGAAACGCCGGCAGTTCTAACAAAGACTGCCATCTGCATGCTTCTTTGTGCCTAGAGCCACTGAAGTGGGAACTTACTGAAGGAACAGTGACAAAATTGGAATCACTATCAGGAAACTGACTGAATTAGTCTCTTGGAATAACCTTATAAGAGATAACAACATAGTGCCATCGTTTGGTCTTGATGCATAAGAATGCTGCTGACTCTTAGTGAGGTAGTTCTTTTCTTCATGCGACTGTCATCGTCATTATTGACCAATAATAATCTTGCATAGCAGTTAGTCAGATTGATTATTTCTGACTTTTATGAAATGGCGGTGATAATTTAATGCTACTGCTAAGGTCCTCCCGGGCGCAATCAGATCTGCTTCTGCGCGTAATTCCGCATTCTACGTTTTCCCTCAACAAATCTGGTGTCGTTGTTTAAGTCATTTAATTGGCAGAATAAAATATTTTTACCTTTCCTACATCAATGCTGCACAGCTTCCTAACCTTTCAGGCTTCATAAACCGACCAGAGCATAAATTCAGACTGCTGAATTCACATTTGCCACCCTTAGCATACAACTAATTTGCAAGTTTGAAGAGATTTTCTTCGTCACTCAGTGAACTGCAAATCGCAGACCAATCAACTGACCACACTTAAATGCAATCATTTTAGCCTGAACATAATCACACTCTGTTAAAGGAAGAATCTGCAGATTAATGGTAAACGTTGAACGACTTCTTGATTGTGCTTAAGCGGAAGCAATGGATAGGCTGATTTCGAGATGCTTGAACCGGGTACAAAAGTAAAAGTGGATATTTGTAAGGGAGATTATTTATCATATCTCGGCATTTGTAGATAAAGTGCAGAAGGCATATACCATCGTAAACTTTATCTATGTCCTAAATTAGACATATGCAATGACAAGCAGTATGCTTTGTTGTAGATGGACAGGCTAAAAACGCTCTTCAACAAAATCTTAAGTACTTTCGCAACGATCAGCTATATCAAGGCTGTTATGGTGCAGCTCTTGAAGAAATGAAAATATCTCCTCCTTACATGCAATATATTGCAGCCAACTTCAGCTGTTCAATTACTGTTCGTCGCCAACCACTATTTCTGAGTGAATTCATATTTTTAATCTAGAGAGCTCCCTACAAGTAACCTCAGCGTCAACGCACAAAACAGTTGGCAGCAATTAAATCATAATCAAAGACATTTTTCTTATCCGTTAAGGCCTGAAACACGAACACTGCAAATGCGTGAACAAGCCAATAATATTCAGAAGTGATGCATGGTTTGTGCCTCTAAAGTAAATTTGTCCATGAGAAGGACACCCACTTTACAAAGAAGGGTAGGTTTGTTAGACGACCGCCCATCTTAATCTAAAAAAATATGCTGACATGCGCTCGCCATGCCTCTTCCATCTGAATCATTGAATAATTCATGGACTACGCCGAATGAAGGTCTATAGGAAACTGGATAACATCAGGCACTGAAGCGAAAATAACGTGATTTACATCACTTGGTTAGTCAACATCGGGGAGCTACGGTTAAACTGTGTTGCCAGAAAATGCATATCATGCAATCACTCTCTCTGCATAAAGTGAAATTTAATTTTAGCAAAAGCTTAATGTTAGCGAGATGTTAGTATTATCTGAAGAAGCTAAAATATACCTCTGAGGTTGTTCTAATTCTTCTGCAACGCTCTCATTTTCATCGCCGATGATAAACAGCGGCATGAACGATGCGCTCATCCTGAATCCTGAATTCTGTTTGATGCCAATGAGTTCTCTACCTGAAAACAAATCTTGATTAATTAAAGAATTTATTTTACTAAGTGCATCCAACATCGATGCTTGTGCAATCGCGTTGATCAGAAGATGCGTTGCTATTCTGCACTACTAGTGCGTGGTATCTTCGACAGCCCAAATTTGAAATTACACCATCTGATCTGACGTTATGAAATGCAAGTTTATGCAGTTGTTTAGAAAAGCAGACTAGACTTGGGGTCATATCTTGAAAAGTTTCATTATCCTTTAGAATCTGACAGTTAAACGCCTCTGAACCAAAAAAACTGCGTATTTTATGAACAAAATGATGCTTCATTTTCTCCTTAGGATTTAAATTATCTTGCCATCCATAGGCATGTTTGGTGATTATTTTGAAAGGTTTGCCTGTTAACAAGCAATTCTTGGTGAGAGGTATAATTTCTCTCGAACCGCACACACGATTTGGCGTGCTCCAGCAAAGTTGTCCAGAGGTCTTTCTTCTTATGCATTAAAGGCACTTAAATGAGACGAAGTTTTGGCCTACTCAAATGGTCCCTCCAGGCAATTGGAAACAAAAGGATTATGCAGCGGTGAGGTAGCATCAGTGCAAAGCAAAATTAACTGTTTAAGGGGACATGCGGCATTAATGTCCATCGAGAAATACGCCAGTGCCGAGACACCACCCTTTTAAACTCACTCCTCAGCCGGTCAAACCAGTGCAACGACATAAATATTGACGGAAGGAAGCTAACGCATTTGCCACTTGCAGATCAATTAGTTTCAAGCAGAATCATATACCATCAGGTTGAAGGTTAATATCTCCAAAAAAATGAATGCGAAACAAGCACTGCCAAGAGGCACATGACGAAGAATTCGAAGTCACTAAATATGCATAATTCGGCCATCACGTAGGCCGCATGAACTCGTTAAAAGGAAAAATATGCCGCAGAAGGATGGCAAAATGAACCAATTTTAGCGAATTAAAGCACCAATACTCGATAATGAAAGAAGAAACTTGCTCAATTCAACCATCCTACTCGACAAGAACCACAGCACTGAATGGAGGTCTGCTACTAAAGCAGTGGAAAACAAACTGATGTCACATAAAGAACGATGGAACGGAGAAAGTCCCCTAAGTCATTGCTTTATGATCGTACAAAATCTGCAACAGGCAGAATTAACAGTTGCGACTAATGCCTGCTACGGCACCGATAGAAAATGTGTCGATCATATGATTACCTGAGATACAATCGATTGACCTCAAAAATTACAAAGTGGGCTCCAACTGATAAAAGGCGCCCATTTTTTCATCCAGAATAATGCATGAATGAAGCGATTATCAAATTACTTTGTCAGCGGAGGAAGAAGACGGCGGAGAAGAGAAATACTGGAGGAAAGTCACCTTGCGTTTACGGCGCGCCCATAACCAGGACAAGCTTGATAAATGATGACGAATTTGGAAAAATTTCTGTGAGTGTATTTTTCATAATAATATAACTCCGCCTTCGACAATCACAAGTTCGGATGAGAAAGGAGGAGAGTAGGCAGCGGAGGCGAGGTCTCCGTAAA